ATCATCCCCCTTCTAAAACGCATGGGGCGAACCCAATTACGGATTTGTCATTGCCATAAAGCAATAGCTGTGCACATGATATAACCATGTACGGTTTAAAACTGAACCTTTCACCCTTGATGCGATTTCCATCCATACATAAATACCACATAAGGATGTTATCTTATGTTAATGTTGGTAGTAGGCTACTTGACAGTAAGCTGTGCTTCTATTGTTTGTTTTATATATAATATATACATTCACTTGGAAAAGACTTGTTAATTTTCCTATTGTTTACTGTTTTTAACTTTTTGACAACTTTAGTGGGTCATTTTTTTCTGTGTTTTGTTATGTCAGTGTTCATTTACTGAGTTTGTGATTTGCTGACTTATTAATAAGGAAAACATTCATCCTTTAAAATTCTTTTTTATGTATTTTTTAAATTTTCTAAATTTGAAAAAAATTTAGATAAAAATAAACTAAAGTTTAAAATCTGATTTTTTCATGCCCCCAAGAGCAATAAAAATACTGGTAAAAATTCCTGAGTGAAGCTTTCAAATTCATGGATGATAAGGGTTCAAGAAAGGACAGAATATATGTTTCTATTGGTTTTGAAGGATGGTTTATTGTGTTACTTCTATACATATTCAGGTAGGCCCTATATTGTTTATCTTTGTACCTGGTTAAATAAAATGTTAAAATGTTTCAAACCAGAATTAAAATATTAAACAAAACAAAACAGAATACATGATTAATCTGTTTTTAACATACGAAATATACAGAATTAAGTACATAATGCCTGAGATTTTTAAAAATAAAGCACATTTATAACATTGTGGACAATAAAATTAACTGTCCTTTTGCCTCATTTTATAAGAATATAAATCTTAGCATCTCACTAGCAGTTGGCAACTGCAGATCGTTCAGCCTGCCTTAGTCTGTACCAAGTCTAATAACACCATTGTACACGTTCTGTGTCAATACAGATATTTATTTTAAATTATTTGTCTTTACTAGTAACAATACACGCTAGGTTATCGTAGCAAGCAGTGGAAAACTCCCCTCAAGAAGCCCGGCCAATTTGCCAAGGGCCTTGCGTTGCAACGCTCACTTTGCCAATATTTCTTTTTTATTACAATATAGGGCCTATGTTTAGCATACTATCATACCGATATAGCCGTTTGTTTATTTTAGCAAACCACGTTTGGCTATTCCAAGCTAAATTGAATATAAATGATTATTTATTATCTTTTTTTGAAAAATAAGAGTCGCAATCATCAGTCCTGTGTACAAAGATCAGTCCGATAAGTCAGCCTAGAACAGCGACATTCTTACCACGATAATACGAGTTTAAAATATCAGCATTTTGTCACGTGAAGGCGAGTTGGCAGCTTACCGTAAAACTTCTCTTAACTCTGGCATCTTTGTGGCAACTCCCGTTCGCTATGCGCAAATGCCACGAGCAAGTTTGTGGCATATTGCTTGCACGGGCAAGTTGTGGCCATTTATGCTTGCCACGGCAAGTTGTGGCATCTGTGGCATGTTACTTGCCACGGCAAGTTGTGGCATATACTTGCCACGGCAAGTTGTGCATATGCTTGCCACGGGCAAGTCTGCTGGCATCTGTGCGCATTTACTTGCCACGGCAAGTTGTGCATATACTTGGCCACGCGCAAGTTGGCTATGCCTTGCCACGGCCAGAGTTGTGGCCATCTGTGCATTTACTTGGGCCACGGCAAGTTTGTGGCATATACTTGCCACGCAGTGTCGGCATATAGCCTACTTGCCACGGCAAGTTGCTGGCATCTGTGGACATATTACTTGGCCACAGATTGCCACAGAGTAGTGGCCTTCTGTGGGAGAGGCCACAAATGCCAAGGCACATGCCCACGGCGATGTAGTGGCAAACACTCATTGTGTTTCTAGTTATGATAAAAATAAAATAAACATTTTACCTTGAAAATCATTGCATTCCTTCATTTTGACACGTGGGTGGTTTTAGTCTAGGCTATACAGCGACCCCTGGCAGGTTCTTAGCTGTTGAAGTTAAAAGTTGAAGTAGCCAACCTAAATGTTTGGAATACTTCTGTTCCAAGTAAAAGTCATGCATTTAAAATGTTACTTCAAGTAAAGCGCAAATGATTTAGCATAACAATATACTTAAAAGTGCATTATTACATGTTTTCTATATAATGATTGATCATTGAAAGTGTTCTCAAAGCTGGTTAAAGTTGCAGCTAGTTTTAATGACTTTGTATTTACTGTAGTAGTGTATCTTGTGATTTAACTCCAGGGTCTAACTATAAAGTCTTGATTTTAAGACTGATTATATGTATCGATCATTAATCGGAATCTGTAGTAAGCTAACTAAAGGTGGGTATTAAATAAATGGTAGGGGAGTAGGCCTACAATTACACAATTTACCTCTGAATTGTAGTGGGCGTTAAGTAGCCTACTACGTAACATTCCATTTACATACTCAAACTAAGTTACAACTAGGCTATTTCTAAATTCACAAGTACAGCTACTTTGAGTATCAAGTTAGCCTTATTTCCCAGCCTCTGGTCAACAATTTTTAAGATCTTTATGCACCTTATTATAATATATTCTTGAGTATCTATTCATAAAAATCACGTTTATTTCTTTTAACAATACCACGTTCTCCAAGTAAAATCTGATATATGTTTAATCTTTTTGAAAAAATATGATCGCCATTCAGTAACAGATCATCCAGTCTGTGTACAGATCAGTCCGATTAAAGTCATGCCAAAACAGCCCGACTTTTACGCGATAAATACGGGTTTAAATATCAGCATTTGCCACGGAAGGGCGAGTGGCAGCTACCGTAAACCTTCTCTTAACTCTTAACTTGTGGCATTTACTTGCCCACGGCAAGTCTGTGCTCGTGCATTTACTTGCCACGGCAAGTTGTGGCATATACTTGTCACGGCAAGTTGTGGCATATATAAGTTGTGGCATATACTTGCCACGGCAAGTTGTGGCATGGTTGTGGCATTTACTTGCCACGGCAAGTTGTGGCTGTGGCATATACTTGCCACAGATACCACATCTGTGGCATATACTTGCCACAGATACCACGGAGTAGCGGCCTCTGTGGCAGATGCTGGAAGTACTTGCCACTGCCTGCAGATGCCACGAAATGAGCCAGGCCCTACTGTAATATTGGGTGTCGAGTCCTTAGTTTGCTTAGTATCTGGCCGTGTAATAAGCGGGATAATGTGCAGCCGCTTGGTCATTATGGGGAAAAGAACACCCTTCATGCTCATCAAGATCAGCCTGTCAGGGGTCCTTTCACCACAATTTGTCTCTGGTGTCGGAATGTCTTGCGATGTTGATGAATTCTTAAAAAACAAAACACCATTTCATTTCGGGTTAAAATGTGTTGTAACTGCGTTACTGATAATTGTAACGAGTAACATATTACCCAAATTTCCTTAGAAATGTGTTACATTACTTCGTTAAAGCAAACAGTAATACAAGATTAGCCTACTGTAACTCTGTTACTTTTGTAACGCGTTACAACCAACAATGCTCCCCACTGCGACTGCTGCGTCACGTGACAGGTGATTAATATAGTTTCACAGTAGAGCTCAGACCACCTACTTGATATGCTCTATAACTGTAAAAATGATCATCAAAAACAAGTTGAGGCAGACTGATAGAGCTACTCATTCAAATGTTATATTACTATAAAAAACAACACAACAGCTTGTTCGAGTGAGTTTGCAATGATCAGAGGAAAACATCTGGACTGTCCTGGTGCAGTAAACACTCCCACATCCTCACTGTGTGTGTGTGTGTGTGTGTGTGTGTGTGTGTGTGTGTGTGTGTGTGTGTGTGTGTGTGTGTGTGTGTGTGTGTGTGTGTGTGTGTGTGTGTGTGTGTGTGTGTGACTAGGTCATTTACAGAAATGGGTCACTGTGCATGTTACATAAACACACACACACACACACACACACACACACACCTTGGGTTCAGACGAAAAGGAAGGAGGACATTTCCTTTTCACACACACAAAGTGAAACTAGCTTCCCATGCAGTTCTTTCACCCCCCGGGGGTCGGGATGACACCACGTTCACAGTGGAATGGAAATGACCCCCCCCACAACCACTTATCCACTGGGATCTCTAAATCTCTCTCATCCTTTCTCCTGGCGGAAGTAAGAGGGTTTGCGTTCACACCGGACGCACATGCAGCAGTGACGAATCTCTGTGACCTTCCAAACACTGGAAAACAGCGACCCAGGACAAGAGGCCCTTCAGCTTCAACCCCTGACACGTGCTCCGTAACGGAGACCGAAAGAGAGGCAAGAACAAAAGAAGGACAAATAATATGTAATGAGAAAACTACCCCAGTTTGGACTGATTTTTAAAAGACTGGAAGCACACTGCCTTGGGACGTGTGGAAAAAAACAGAAAGGACAGAAGATGTTTCTTGCGCTTCTCCAGAACATAATTAACGTTATCCATGAATTTCAAACAGCTGAACTGCAAACTAGCCTGTATTTCAATTTTGCGAAAAGAAGAGAAGGGACTAACAAAGCGTCAATATTTCATGCCTATATAGGAGGAAGCATTGTTTGACTTTAAAAGCATCAGCTAATACATTTCACATGCATTAGTGGGTACATGCATGAAAAGCTTTGAGGATAAACTCAAACGGAAACTTTTTTGTAGCACTGTATCATTTTTATCTTAAGGCACTAAGATTTAATTTAATTTTAATGTAATTCAAGCATTACATTCTTGTTTGTATTGTACAGCATCCAACCATCCGTTTTCCATACCAGCTAAGAGTTGAAGGGGGGTAAGTATCCCAGCATGCAATGGATGAGAGGGAAGTATATCAAAGACCGTGTCATCATTTAAAGTTTCAGTTTTAACTAAGCTGCATGTCTTTTGATTGTGAAAAGAAACCCTTAAAGACCCAATATTTTCCTTTTCATCTCTGTGACGTGCGACTAGAGTTTAATAGTCCCAGTTCAGCCAGCGCTGAGTCATCACAGGACAGAGATCAGTGTCTCTTTAGACAGCTGCATTACAAAAAAGAAAAGAAAATTAAAACGTTGTAAATTCCTAGATCAGGTTATGCACATGTCAGACTGAGACAGCAATCCAACATTACACACACAAAATCACAGCTCAAATAACCAATAGAATCAGAAAGGTGGGGAGGTGGGCCATGAGGAGCTGCACTCAGAACACAGGCTCGTACGTAAATCTTCAAACCCTTTTATTTGTTTGTGAGTAGAAAATCCAAGTTGTTCCCTTGATGATAATCACCACATTCAGTAGTTTACTCCTTGTTTTATGATCTGGTTTGCGTGAGTATGCTATCGTCAAACGGCAAAGAAAACTTCACATGCAGATGTTTGCTTTGCTTTTCGTTTAAAACATGCTTTTGCTTTGGACTGAAAACAACAAGCCATAGAGAAAACGCCAATATATGAATACTCCCTTTAATCCATTTTCTTTCCAACATACACATCATATTCTGTTGCAATCTGCACCAGAGCATCCATCAGCACCAATGACGCAACAAACAGAGTGAGGCTTTTGAGTTCAGCTGCAAAGCCTCAGATCTGACATCAAACACATCGACTACGTTTAAAAAGATCTCAAGGCAATCTTAAATTGGCTGCCTTTTGCACTGGTGATTGGGCTAAATGGATTCCAGCACTATACATCACTCTCTCTAGAAAGAAGTAAAGATTAACCACGCACCAGTTGGCCGGGGCACTCACCTTCTGGTCCTCGAAGGCCTTGCGTAGCTTGATGTAGTTGGTGAGGGCCCTCATGGCGATGGGCAGCTTCCCGATGACCTTGAGGTCGATGGGTCGCCTGTGAGCGTCTGTAATAAAAGTGTTCATCCACCAGTAGGTGGCTTTGGACAACAGGTTCACGAAGGGCTGAAGGAAACGAACACCCAGGTCCTGGAGGTCCTCGGGGGGCTTCACCTCTGTGGGGTCAGCGTAACACATGTAGCGCTGTGAGAAAAGAAGGGAAGACAGACAAGTTTGACTATTAGACTCACTGTTTCCCATGCAGGGGCCTGTAAAATGGATAAGATGAGCACATGCAACCCTCAATAAAATATAACATTAGCTCCTCCCACATGGCAAGTTCTATGGAGTACACACAGTTTTTAGTGGGATTAATGCTAGTTGGCGGGAAAACAAATTGGTCTCTATTGTGGACTAATATCAGGTTGCCTGATGTCAATATGACAATTGCCAAATCTTGGCAAAGCTTTTCATATGTTGTACTTTTATAACAATTAGGCTGAACAGAATAGAAGAAAAGGAGAATAATAGATGTGGTGCACACAACTTTAGATTTAGGGAAATTAGCACAGAATAGGTCCAGATACTGTTTATTAACAAGTTATAATTATTTCATTATACCAAAAGTCCCATGATATTCTGTTAACATGGCTTTGTTTGAAATTGGTTTAAGATCTGAAATAACAATGTTTTTGCAGAATTACGTTTTGTAGTGTATGAATACATCAGATTTCACTGGAGAATTTGGAGGGTTAGGGGTATTAAGGGATGGAAGAGTAAAGTTTAGACTTGATTATTAAAAAAGTGATTATTGATCGTTGTAACATTAATTCACAAAGAAATGTAACATTTTAAACAATTTAAGTCATACAAAAGAGATAGTTTGAAATTAACTTCAAAGCTATGATGCAGTAGAAATTGGCAGAGCCTTTCCATGATGGGAGAATCCCTTCCTCTGCCATTCACCCTGAGGAACAAGATTCATACAATAACAGATGTGTTCTCAGTGCAGAGGTTAACAGATTCAAACACATGCCAAATTGTCCGGGGGAAAAGAGTACACGAGTCTGACATTTTCTCAGTGGCGTCAGAAAGGGTTTGATAACAGGAAATTTCGAAGGAAAAGTTATGACCACGATCTCTGTGTTGTGCAATCAATACAACAGACCTTTAGATGCCACTGCCCTCAACATCATTTTTAAAATATTGTTGATCACATTCCAGACAATGTTTAGTGGGCTGGACACTAAACAGTGTACGAGCCAGATAAGAGGGCAGTCTGAGGCTGTTATTGTCAGTTCAGTTTCATCAAGGGATATATGACCTTTATTTGCTTCCTTTTGTGATTCAGGTGTGTTGATTTTCTTGCCTTATTTTTTATGCCTTTTTTATTTAAGTTTGTGTTTTTCAAGCATTGCTAAAAGCATGTTGGGCTGTCAGTCAGCCCTTTGTTCCAGACGGAATGATATCAACAACTATTGTATGGATTCATGTGACATTGTGTACAGATATTTATTGTTCACACAGAATGATGCAACATTACTTGAGTGATCCCCTGGCATCTAATCTTGTATTTTTGAAAATCTTGGAAATCAGCCATATATTTTGATACAGTAATTAATGTCTCCTTCATTATTAGTTGCAACATTCGTCACAATGACAACATACAAATAACTTTCCAAACAACATTGGTGAAAATGTAAAACAAAATGTAGCATCATTGCATCATCAAATGTGTATCTCATCCTGGGAAGCTTTACTGATCACTGGCTATTGAAGACGTTAGTATGTCAAATTAAAACTAAAGGTGAATAAAGCTTTAATACAGGACACATTCATATGACTTCACACACAAGAAAACAAACACAGACACACACACTCACCCTTCCCAGGATGACATTGACCTCCACGGCCAATAGGAGTCCATACAGCAGCATTAGCAGTCCGGTGATGCAGTAGCGTAGCTGCCGGGGGCCGATGCCATGCTCGGTGTACTTGGCAAACTTGATGGTCTTCATGATGAAAGCCAGCACCCAGTAGATCAGCAGGGCTGAGGAGAATTAGCAGGGATCAAAGAAGGACAGCACTTCACTGGACGAGCCAAATACATAAATAAACCAACTCCAGATGGCTAATATCAGATGACTTATCAGTGTTTTTTAAACTGGATTTCAGTAATTTATTTGATGCACTTGTTAAATGACATAAAGACATGGTTCAATTGATGTTTTTTGAGTGATGTTTTCCCGTGTTAGCATCATTTCACTTCTTGTTTTTGTCTTTTGGGACAGGTCTGCTTTCTGTCCCCAGAACTAAACATGGAGAATCAGCGTTTAGTTATTATAATCAAAATACCAGGAACCATTTCCCAGAAACCTGCAGGTCCGCTGCAACTCTTACTACTTTTAAATTCAGGCTCAAGACCTTAGTTTTTCTACTGCTTTTAACTGAACTATTCATATCTCACACTGCACTGTAACTTGTATTCATGTATTTCATACCTGTGTTGTTCTATATTAGCTTGTTCTATGTTTATTTTTTTCTCTTTGCTTTTTAATGACTGTTTTTAAATGCCATCTTATAATGTGTTTCCGTTGCACTATTTCTTAATTCTCTTAATGTTTTTTATTTTTGTAAAGCACTTTGAATTGCCTTGTGTTGAAATAACACTATACGACAAAATATGTGTCTCATTTAATCCAGAAAACACCATTTTATATTTTATAATATAAAAGGGATAATTCATATCTACCAAGGGCAGTGCTATTACACTATTATATTTGTTCAAACACTTTAGATCCTAGCTGAATGCAATGAACCATTTATCTTTAAATAGTTGCACTGACTCAGATTATAATTGTTTAATTGTGAAGAGCTTGTGTAATTTGATGTATTCTTCAGTTGCTAACATCCACGCCTTCATCACCTCCAGTCTGGACTATTGCAACAGCCTCCTCTATGGTTCACCTGCAAAAATCCTCAACAAACTTCAATACATCTAGAACTCCGCCGCCCGTCTACTCACCCACACCCGAATCCGTGAACACATTACCCCCGGCCTCATCAAGCTCCACTGGCTCCCCATACCCCAGAGAATTCAGTACAAAATCCTCCTAATGACGTACAAAGCCCTCCATAACCTGGCCCCATCCTACCTGACTGACCTCCTCCACAGACACACTCCCACTCGCTCCCTCCGCTCCCTGCTACTGCCAACATCCTGTCTCCCCCCCCCCACCCGGACCAACCTCAAGTCCTGGGGCGGCAGAGCCTTCTCCGTTGCTGCACCCATCCTCTGGAACTCACTACCCCAATCCATCAGAGATTCTTCCTCCCTCACAGCATTCAAAACATCACTCAAAACCCACCTGTTCAACACTGCATTCAACCACTGACCACCCCACTCCCCCCGTATTTTTTTTCTGCTAAGCGCTCGGAACGAGCTCTTTTACCGGCAACTGTAGCCGTCCCCTTCCATACTCTATTATCCTTACTTATCTATTAATCGGTCCGTCCTGTTGCGTGTCCCACCGACAATTGTACCCATACGAATAAATCTCGTCATGGTCTATCACCACACGGGCTGATCCGGCGCGCCGGTAGTAGTGAGTGATCTATCTAGTAATCGTGCTCTCGAGCTACTAATTTTATTACGATCTGGGGGCTCGGATGTCCACCTTCGCACCCCACCTTCGACCCCCACCACCCGCTCGTTCGGTCGGGTCGCTTGCGATCTCGCATCGGACGGTCGTTATCGTCGGTCGTTCGTTACGTCGCTCTCGGCTCTAGACCGTCCCAATTTAATCTCGCCGCTATAATTCCACTGAGACAAACCAACCAACAATCTCACCGTTCCCCGCAATCATACTTAAGTCGCTATTCACGACTCAACTGCGACGACCTTGCACGAGCGTCAGAGCGGGGTAATTATTAATGTACTCTCGGAACATACGGCGAAAAGTCTTTCGAGTTTTCCGCGACGCAACTGTTTCTATTATTTTTGTATTATTTTTTTTTTATGTTTTCTATGTTTTTCTC